TCCACCTATGTATTACTTTCATTTGATTTCATCTATATATATATATATACATAGAACTCATGAGGACATGTCATGTATTCAATATATATATCTATATACACATTGTTACATGTGTGTGTGTGCGCGTTTGAATGCACTTGTTTACTGATGCCTCTCCACCCGCCAAGGCTCCGCAGCTTCCCCCATGCCGCGCACGCCCGCGCGGCGGTCCACCACCGCGTGGCGGATCATGGCATGGCTCATGGCGCCTGCCGCGGCCACGATCACCGGAACTTGTGAGATGGATGGCGCTGTCAGCGCCACACCACTGAGGCAGCTGGGAGAGGTTTTTCGCTGGTCGCCCAGAAACATCGGATGAAAGATGGATTTCACACACTCCCGTCGTTTCATTAGCGCTCCAGTCGTTTCAAGTACCTCCTCAGAAGGTATTTGGAGCCTAAACCCTAACCCCGAACACCAAAGACCGGCAGGTGAAGGTGTTCTCCCAACAAACATTGTGACGAGTATGGCTCAGAGCAAGTCCACACCCTGTTGCTCACTGGTTTTGGCATCGAAGATGTAGCCAGCTGCTGAATGGAAATGAAACAAATGTGTCTCAATTGGCATCCCTGGCCCCAGACACTGGTGCATGAATCTGTCAGAGTTCGCCTTCTACATGATTGTACCTTGGAGCATGGACGCCTGTCGTTTCCGTTCAGGTTCAGCCGTGGGAACTGCCAAGCCTTTCTTCAGCCACTTGGCCAAAGCAAAGGAGTGGACAGCACGCCGAATCCTTGGGAAGTGCCCACTGAAGCTCTGGTTCACCAACTTGGAAAACGCATTGGAAAAGCCGCCCAGTGTCCTCCAAAGGATAGATGAGGTTAGTACTGCTCCAGAATCCCTTACAAAGTCATGTGCTTGACTGTTTCCTCTGCTTTAGGTAATGAGCTGGGTGGGATTCATGGGATTAGGATGAAAAATGATTGCTCCAACTGGCAAGCTGCAGTGATCAGTTTGCAAAGCTGCAGTGATTGAGATGTTGTTGCTGGGTCTATGCTGGTGAAAAGGAAGCATTAGAGGCTTCCCAAGTTTGTGGTTTGCCTGCAAGAACTGACTACTGCGTTTTGAAAAGACACAATTGAGGAGATTTGCCAGCAAAACTTAGAGGGTAACGGAAAAATCTCAATGGTTGACATGTTCTTTACATGGTAACGGAAAAATGCACAGCTCCAAATCATTCCCAGCCAGAATCTGTCAACCTGTCTGGTTGTGCCGGACACCTGTTTCAGTCTGTTTGCCTTGCCTTACCCCCACCACACCGGTTTCCTGTCCGCCCCCAAGCGGGTTGAGCCGGGTGGTTCAACCTGGTAAGCCTTGTGGCCTAAGAGAGAAGATCCAGACCGTTCAAGTTCTCATGCTTCTCCCTCGGGTTCGATGCATGAAAGTTTGGGTCATGGGTTCGCAAGGCGTGTGTGTTTCCTCCCCCAACGGATTCCAACCAAGCGATGAGTACTTAAAAAGGATAACGACCTGAACTATGCTCCTCAAGAGTACTTAATACTTAATATGAACTATAGGTGTTGAATTCCGGACATGGAAGGTGTTGAATTCCACCCCAAGTCGTCGGTGCCACATCGGCAGGACAGTCCAGGGGACCATTGAGTTGAATGGGCTCATTGCTACTGTCTCGGTGCTTTGGCTGGAGCATGAGCATGTGGGGCTCGCCTGAAGAACCCAGCACAGTCATCAACAATCTCATCCCAACGTGAGACACCTGCTTTGGTCTTGTTTTGTTTGGTTGTCTTTGCTCGGGCACTCTTCATAGTTCACTGCTTTGGTATCGCGGTATCCCTATGAAAGTTTATCATACAGTGTTAAAGTTTAAGTTTATCTCTTGTGTTGCCTGAACTCCAATCAGAAGGTTTACAATATAATAGGCAATACTCTCCTCAAGCACTTGCCATCACTTAGCCCTTGCAGAACGTTGTATACTATACAGGCTAACAGAGGATTTGCCCTTTTGAACCTTCTCTTCGAGTTTTCGTGCTTGTGCAGTGGCATTCGGCACCGAATACCACTGCACAAGTCGGTGGAACCGGTGTTGCTTCGTTTGAGGCAAACTTCACTTACAAGAACGAGAAGCCTCGCGGATCAACACGCGGATGGCAAAGAGTTGGGATGCGAACATGGTTAGTTTGGGTGGGCAGACGTGGGCCGGGCCAGCACCGGTTGTCATGCACCAACAGAAGGATGACCATTCGAGAAGTAATGATGGATCGCATGGTCCGCATGGGATTCAATTCACTTCTTTTGAGGTAATGTAGACTCTTGACTAATAAACCCAGCCAATTGAATTGGAAGTCCTCTTCATATGGGGGGGGGGGGGTTGTGGTCCTCAAGAGTCTACATTAAGTGAATGTTTAGTTGAACTGTTGACAGTCAGTCTATCAACGGCTTAGGCTGAACGCCTGAACGCAGCCTTGCTGGTGACTGGAGGGCCCGGGGTATTTTGTTGTGTTGGAGGTCGTTGACTTCCACTTAGGAAGAGAGCAACAAGAAACTGCAACAAGAAACTCCCAGATCGAAGATGACCTTACAAGCTCCTTGCTCCAATTCGAACCATCAATGTGTTGCCTTTTGCTGCTCAGGGCAGCCTGTTTGCTTTTTTTTTCTGGTGACTAATCAGTGGTGCGCTTGGCCGTGTTCCAAGTACAGATGTTTGGGATGCACCCACACGGATCCAAGCAGTACATAGCAGCACAGCAGATCCACCCACTATGCTCATCCGTTCGCCGGGAATTGGTAGATGGCCGATTTCTCGTTGGCTCCGTTGGCTCGTCCTAGCTTCGATGCATAAAGGGACCGACTCTGTGCTTGGTGCCTCAACGTGATGAACACCTCGCCCTCCTAGATGCGAAAAATGGGTGAAACCATGTGAAGCCCATGTGAAACTGTTACCTTCATCCAAGAAGACCAGGACGTACACACTTGGCACCTTGCTGCGACGATGTCCAGACGCCTACCTTACGTGATCCGAAGTGCGCCTTTCTCTCCGTGGCTGCCCAGGAAGAGCATCGAGGCTGCGGTCTTGTCGCTGCCCATGCCGAAGCAGGCCATCCTACAAGGCTATGAGCTTCAGGACCGGTCCCGGCTCCGTGTGCCTTTTATCCGACAAGCAAAACGGTGGGTCCGTCGGTGTATGTGACAGTCCGTGGGTCCGTGGGTGTAGTGCGGATTCGAGTGGTTTAGTATGGATGAAGCGTGTATGTTGTTGGGGAAGTGTATGCTCAATCTTGCTGGGGCTGTCCACGAGCTTCGAGATGTGGTATTCATGGATTTGCCGCAGTTTGCCGCAGTTCTACACTCAGCATGCTATTGGGAAAACCCGTGTTTGGTCAATTGGGTGGCGCTCTTTGAAAGATTGTGGACTGCAGGACATTAAGGGCCATGTGCAAGAGTCCAGCGGTGAGAGGCTGGCGCTTTGACGGGTTGCCGCTTCGCTGTGCAGTTCACCCCCTTTCAACTGGCTCATCCTCCTGACTGATTCGCACCGGTCTCAGCAGGTCTCCCTGTCCGGGGCATGACCTGCTCAGCTTCTATGAGCCTCTGGGACTGCATGAGATGGAGACCTGCTCCGATCCAAACTTGGACGCATGAAAGCCACTGCTGGATTTCCCCTTTTCAATGCATGTTTTTTGTTCCATTGGACATCGACCGCGATATCGGTTTTACAACCCAGTAATGCTTCAGGTTCCATGTGGCTCCAAGGCCACCCTCAGCGCTGCGGGTGCCACTCTCCTCGAAGGTGAAAGGGGGCGAAGAGGTGATTCTGAGGATGGAATATTTGCTCGTCTTGCAGGCGCGAACATCTCCAACCTGGGACAACCATGGATTTTCTGATTTTTTTTTGAATTGTTTTGCATGTTGTTTGTTTGATCGACATGTTGCGTTTTGGGCCAAACTGTGCAAACAACGGTGCACAACAAAATTAAAAAAGTGCTTGGAATTCGGGTGTGTCTCAAAGACCCAAACTGGATGAGTAAACCTCTCTGGATGATGAATGATGATGAGGCAGCATGTTGCATTTTTCACGTGATATGCTTGACCAGTGCAGGGTCGTGAGCAGGTTTTGGACATGTCAGGAAGGTCGGCTTGTATGTTGATGCTTGGGGCTGGAGCCGGTGAAGAAGACCAATTTTGTGGGGCCGGCATAGGGATCCAGTCGTACCTTCTCAGAAGGTGATTGGAGACACTGTTATGTAGGTTTTGAGGGCCCAAGTACTGCCAAGTACCTTCTGAGAAGGTACTTGGATCCCACAGGTATGAGAGGCAGGTGCTGGGCATGCTGGGCAATGCATGATTGCAGAACTCCTGACACGATCTTTTGAGTTGCACCACTTATGGGCGCCTTTTCCACTTGACTGCCCTGTTCGAAGTGGGCTTCACGCCCAATCTAGTTGGCATGAACGGGCAGGTTTGAGGTCATGGTCAGACGAGTGAGCCATCCACATTTCACACCTTTCAGCAGCTTCACCAGTGGCCACTCAAGACACCACGTCCACGTCCACCTCGTCACCAGTGCTCCACGTTCCGCCAGGCGAGGCAGCGTGCTGCGGAGCGCCGGGACGTGTCGTTCGGCCACGTCTTGGAGTTGCCCATGGCCTTCCCGTCGAAGGGACGCGGAGCAGGTGCCATGCGTTCGGCGGGCGTGCGGAGGGATGGGACACCGCGGAGGATGGAGCGAGGGAGGAGCAAGGAGGAGGAGTTCCAGGTGGGAGGGACATGGAGGGACCACAGGTTGTTTTACAAATTTACACCTGGATGCCCAAGGGGTGGTTCATGGACACCCCTTGGCATTTAATTGGCTATTAGTGGACACCCTTTCCGTAGTGCTGGCAAATGATGGGTTCATTTCCGCCAGCGCTTCAAATGGTACACGAGTGTATCGTTCGCGTTTGGAGGGGCCACATGGTCGGCATGCCCTGGACAGCCCTGGACGGTTTGTGGACGACGCGTGGACCGTGGACCGTGGACCGTGGCACGGGGAGCATGTTCCGGTCACGGCTGAGGCTCTCCGGACGCCGTACAGCTTCAACTCTTCTTCGGGGGTGCCTGGACCGTGCAGAGCGGGACGCCCGCCGTGGAGCTGCAACCCGAGCCAATGGAGGCGCAGAAGCTGATGAAGCCTGGTGAACTGGATTTTTGTTCCTTCTTATTATGTTGTTTCAGGTGAAGAGTTGGGTTTCTGGAACATCTTGATTCCTACTTAAGTAGTCTAAACAAGTAGGGCCTTGGCCCACAGAATAGATAGTGCGTTTGAGTTTCGTACCAAACCAAATGCCGCTGAACATCTCCCAGCCGGAAGCACCCCGGAGCGCATCCGGAGACCTGTAGCATTTGGACGGTCTTAACGTGCCATTGCAATAACCGTTGTGTAACCACCGAGATATTTTGAGCTTGAGAGATATAACCACCTTGATTGAGCTCTGATAGATATTCGACATTGCCCAACAATCCATGTACGACATGTACGGAATAGATATATAGATGCCTCCAATTGATCCCTGAAACCATCTCAATGTAGGTAAATATGCAATACATGGCTTGTTGGGGTATTGGATGTGTCTCAACTTAGGATGCGCAAATCTGCGAATGTCCAATCTCGGCTAGGGAACAACCTTTCGGCTGGATTCAAGACTTGCCCCTGCCATTGTGTTTCTTCTCCATGTTTCTTGGAATCTTAAATCTCAGGAACCATTTGGTGCTCAAGTCGCCCTTACAGGACGGGACCATGTGGAGGAACTTCATCCACCCGACAGAGAGAGAGGGAGAGGGGGACCATGAGGACACCCACTCCTCTAGGCTGAGCTCACTTCTTAGTTATTCTTCCAATTTCATTCTTAGTTATTCTTTAGTTACTCCTTTCGGCTGGATCACCCACCTTCCATGTATTTTGTCCAAGATTTATATAACTGTCTCTTTAACCCGGTGTGCATTGGATATGCAGGACATTTCCTTGGAGCTCAGCTTCAATGCGCGAGCCGTGCCCGATGCGACACTTCCAGCTCAGCCCTTCATGCTGAGCTTGCAGCGGCATGGTGCCAGCCAGCGGTTGGCCGCACAAGTCTGGGTGCCTCCGAACATCTCGATGTGTCAAGGCCGTTTCTGAAAAAAAGCAGCGGAACACTGAAACCACCACACGAACTCTGAGGTTTTCACCCGAGAACCAATGGAGGTCCGATCGAGTTCAGCCAGCAGCTCGTTCAGTCCAATGGACGACCAGCGGAGATTTGGAATGAACACCACCCAAAGGCTCATTGGACCCTCATAGCCAGGGTTTTGACCCTCACAGCCAGGGTTTTGGACCTCAAAATGAGCCTCTGGGCAGCAACCAGTCAGACGACCAGCCACCGTCCTACGTTGGTCCGCCAGGCTTGCCCAACGCAGTTCCTGGAATGACCGATCTCGAGATCGAGTTCTTCTTCGTCGTTGATCCCTCCGTGTCGTGGTGAAGTAACCAAGAGCCCAGCAGTTTCGATGTCGCGTTTCTTTCCCCAGAAAGCGCCAGCTAAGTATAGGAAGAGGTGCCTGTGCGCGCTTTGGAGCCTGGGTGCTGGCGCCGCTGCAGTGCCAGACATGTGGCCGTGTGCGCTTTGGAGCTCGGGTGCTGGTGCTGCTGCAGGGTGCCGCTGCCAGATGAGTGGTCGTGTGCGCGGCTTGGAGCCTACGTGCTAGTGCCGCTGCAGGGTGCTGCTGCCAGACGTTTATGGCTGTGTGCGCGGCTTGCCGCTGCTATGGCTCTGCCACAGATAATAATTATATCTTATTGGTATCTGCAGTCTAGACCTATGCTGGCGTAATTGTTTTTCCGCTTTGCTTCGTCCTGAATCATTTTCAACCAACAAGCAGGAGGCTTTCCAACCAGCTTGGCTTCACCAGCCGGCGCGGCCCATATCATCCAGGTGACCATGCGCGGCCCGCGCCTGGCGAAAGTTCGCCAGGCCCTGCGAGTGCTGCTGCGGAGCCTGCCGAACGCCGCTGTGGTGAATGTGCCATGGCGGGTGCCAAACAGTCGTTGACTCAAGCACCATGAGGCGGCATAGAGGGCTGTTTGTATAGGGCCTAGTTGGGCCCCAGAAGGAGGATGATGAGAATAGGTGGGCGGGTGCTCCCCATTTTGCGTTGGAGTCTTTCATGGGGTTTGATGCATTTGTTGGGCTCGGGAGGGGCGTTTTGTAAACTTGTCCCAGCACTAATTACGAGTTTCTGCAATCATGTGTTTACTGTAAGTGTTTAGGAGCGTGGCACCTTAACGATGACGTGCTCGACAAGATGCTGGCGTACTCTGCTTCCACGGAATTCCTTGAACAAGCTCAAATTAGTGCATTCAGATCTATTTTGTACTTTATTTTCGGGTAATGATGTACACCCTTGGGATTACAAACGGGTGGACTTTGGAACCCAAGCGAGTGGACCTTGGTTTGTTTACACTTATAACTTATAGCGCTTAGGTCACATGTTGTTCACCGTAGCTCTCACAACCTTCCCTGCCAACCCTGCAGCCCCTGGGCCATCAAGTGCATTGAACGAACCGTCGCTTTTTGCATTTTTTGACCAGATTCATCATGAACATGGACCTTCCCTTCAAAACCATACCGTGTTCCGTGTGCCTTGTACATTTCAAATTGGTCATTGCGGGACTTGGGGTCTTGAAATGCTTGAGTGATGGTGATGTTTCTCAGCGCGGCTTTCTTATGGCTTCTTGTTGGCCTTAAATCTGAAGGATGCACAACAACAGATTGACTATTGGCAATCGGTGATCTTGTCGTGTCAGTTGCCGTTCATCCGGAGCATGAAGAGATTGTGAAATCAAATTCGCACCAAAAAAGGTTGTTTTCCAGTTCTGTTGCCCTGGGCAGCAGCTCCGCTATATATGAGCAACTTATGTACAGGCCATTCGGGTCGATCGGCGCATTCGTTTGTCACAAGCAGCTCGTTGCAGGAGAGAACTAATTTTGCAGATTTCATGTGATCATCAGGGCGAGGGTGCAAATCGACTGATGAGCTTCACTGGGTGACATTCCAAGAGTCACATGTTGCGTGCTAGCTGAGAAGCAGGAGGCTACTTGCTTCTTCGCTACTTGCAATGCCTTTTGGTTCATGGGCATTCTGTTCATTTCACACACGACGCGCTTTGGAACGCAGTTTGTTTTCCGCAGTTCCTGACATGTGCTGACGTAGCACGAGTCTTGTCACATGGTCTTGTTGGGCTGTGCTTTGCAAACCGTGAGACGAGGTTTATAGGCGCCCCTGGCCACTAAGCAGCGTGTTTGATGGCCTGGCTTTGGGCCCTAGAAGCCCCCCTGTTTCGACCAGGGGCACGAGAACCCAAGGGTATGCGGAGTCATATATATTTTACACACACATATATATACACACACATTGGTAAATTGACCTATATTATAATACTGTGCACACCAGGACTAGACTTGTGACTTGCTTTCTTGGCTGCCCCTGGTCCACCTTGACCCTTGCCAGGGAAAACGCAAAAAACAACGAACCACACGCCGCAGCCGCAACTTCTCTGAGTGAGGTGGTGGGGTTGAGTTCCCAAAGTTCTGCAGATGCCCTGTTCCCCGAAAGCCGCCCCTTGAACTCGCCACTGGGATGCAACGTCCCAATCGCGCCGCCGCCGAATCGGGCCGATTCGCGCGAAGGTGTTGCAAAGACCTATATCGATATTGATGTTGGTCTGAAGTCTGAAACTTGATGTTATTTTTCACCACCTAGTTGAGTGATCATGTCACACTGCGAACTCCGTACACGCCGTACATGCCTTACTTTGCGAGGGTATACATATTGTTCGTTGGTGTGGGATGAAACCCTACTATTTTGTTGTTGTTTTTGTTTGTTCAATGGATTTCATGGGTTAATTTGAGGTATTAGCGCTATTGAGCCATATATATACCAAGTGCTTAACCCTGTTGCATTGGCACAGCTCGGGAGGTAGCGAACACATTCGTCCGGGATGACGGTGACGAGAGGAATTAGAGAATCGAACGCCGGTGTGGCCGGGCAATCATTTCTGACAGCTTCTTCTATAGGGGGTGAGTTTGACAGCAAACCTGCTCCTGAGATCCAGCTTTCCTTTGATCCAGGCTTCTCCCCCAAAACGGGCACGCCTGCCGCATTAATGGGCATGGTTTGGCACGGAACGGAGGCAGACCTTTGACGCGGTGGACGAATTCTTAAAGAGGGATGCTGAGGAGTTCTTGGATTCGGTTGCCGGGATGCAAATTGGCAAGGGGTCCGCTGATGGGGGAATCTAATTATAGATGTTCAAGCCTTTTTTTTTGGGCATCCCTAAGTGAGCATAAGGCTTTAGAGACTTCAGAGAGGTCTGGGGTCTCAAAAGGATCTACTTATTTGTTTCATAAGGTCCATGCTGAATTCCGTTCAGTGTTAGGTGTTTTTCAGGATAGCACGGATGTGGGTTTGGCAGTTTAAACCACAACATGCATCCAAGCGCAGAACATGAAAACAGACAGTTTCTTCAGCGTGGAGTCAGGCGAAGGCATCAGAAACACCCAATCGGATACCATCTCATCGAATCCATCAGCTGCGCTAACAGTTCAGGCACAGACGTCTGAAACAGTGCGAGACTGGTGCCAGAATGACACGTTAGGTCTTCCAACACTTGGAGGTATGTTTGGCGTAGCTTGATCGGCCCCCCCGCCTGAGCCCCATGAAAAAAACACACCGATTCCACGGGATATCCCACCATTGAACTCAGATAAGTCGGGGCAGGGCTTGTCTTCAAGAGGGAAGTCCCTTCATGTGACGTGACATGCCCACCCACCATCACCCATCTTTTTTCTTATTTTTATTTGTGTCTCTAAGTGCATGTCGCACAAACAGCAGCATGAAGCAGCAGGGCAAGACTGGTCGGGTGGCTCCGCCTGAGGTGACTGGTCTCCATTCGCTCCTCTCCACGGTCTTCGACACCCGCAGGGACTCCTCTCAGCTTCGTGTGGCGACTGGGACCGCGACTGGTCAATGCCGGCACGCAAGACCCACCATGCGAATTCCGAAGACCCTTTTCAAGGCCTCAGTGCCCTTTTCGAGGCCTCAGTGCCCCTTTCAAGGCCTCATGGCCAGTAGAGCATTCAAAAACTAGGAGCTATAGGACATTTGATTGTGACACGTATTGCAGGTGACCCAAGTTTGGGAGGGTCCTTTACTTCATGATCAGTCTCCAAAAATAATCCAAGCACATGTTTTAAGACTTCGAGGTATGGGTTATGGGTCGTGACCCACCCTCTTTACCCCACCGGCCGCGGTTTTGGGTCCGACGTACCCCGGTCGTGCCCAGTCTCCGGCAGTTGGCTTCGCTCCAAAGAGCGACATGCACATACATGGAATACATTGGATGGTCGGGGTTAGGTATGGCAGGCTTTTGTTCCAAAAACATCGTACATCCCATACTACAGACGCGACTAATGGGACTGCCAGTCCGGACTGCCGCCCCAGAAAGACCCCCTGGCACAATGTATGGCAGTCCCATGGAGCGTCTGGGTATGTCTTTTTTGGCCTGACTTGAAAGACACGCCCTAAAGCTATTGACCCGTGGGCCGGATTTCGCCTCCAATCTCCCGACTGCCACACCCGCCACACCGCCTGCACCGGTATGTTTCCGTTGTGGGCTCAAGGCATGGTCAAGGCCTAAAATTCATTTGCTTGTATACACCCCAGGGCTCCAACCATATCCTCAGGTTCGGTGGTTAGACCCCCCTGGCACCCACCCCTGTCCTATCTTCTCAGGAGGTGGGCCAGGAACCCTAGGGACAGGGACTGTGCTACTGCACCTCAGCCCAAAACACCACAAAACTCCTCCCCCTCCCCCGCACTACTTGTTGGTTCAGCCACTTCATCTCTAAGGCGCTGATCACCGACCGCTATCCGCCCGACCAGAAGGCCTCGGTGCAGCTCTTGGAGGAGTCCTGCGACGCGAACTGCCGCGTCTTCGTCCTGGGCCTTGGCTGGGGCGCCTCGCCCCTCTTCGTCGAGCAGGTGAGCAGCGGGTCGGGCGCGCGCGCGAAGCGAAATGTGTGAAGCCGGGGCAACCGGGCTGCGGTGATGGGGCAACCGGGGGGCAGATAAAGTGAAAGAAGGTCAGGAGAAAGGTGCAGGCTAAGGATGATCTTCACACTTTGTTAGAAGGGTGGGTGCAGAGGATGATGGATTTTGGGGAGGATATTCTAGTGCAGTGCGGCAGGCATTTCCAAAATTCGCTGAAACAGCGGAGTTCTTGCATTCGCCACACTACAGGACTACACCCACAGAACACCCCGCCCAAAAAGGAATCAACACCTGTTCTTCATCCTCGTGTGGATCGCAGTTCGGTAGACACAGGCCTCGAAAGTGGGCCATGGCAGCTACGCCTACGTGGCGGAACGGGATGTGTCCTATGGTATCGAGAAGAACCTCCTGGCGCAGATGGTGGATGCTGGGTTTGTCTCTAACTGCTCCAGGGTTGGTAGGTGGGTTGGTTGGTTCATGCAGACAGCTGGTTCATAGGTGGCTAAGCGGCTAAGGGTTGCTTGGTTGTTTGTCAGGGTTGTTTCTTGGCCAACTTCGAGTTTGATGATATTTGGTGTTGCTTGGCCGTTTCCCACTGTGGTGGTGTTGGGACTGGGTCCAGTTTCTGGAGTAGTGATGAAGAGTGGTGCCAGTGGGGCGTTCTGATTACTGTGTCGAGTCACTTGTTCGTGGAGGTCATTCAATTTTCACCTTTCGATTTCGACATGTTGTTTGGAGGCAAAGTATTTTCGGAAAATGGGAGGGGTCAGAGTGGGACCTTGTTTGTGCTTCAGGTGGGGTCTTTGGACAGGTTTTTTCAGTTGTTTTGCTGCGTGCAGTACGTAGTAGGGGCCGTATGTTGGGCCGTACGCACGGTCAATGCAACTCGGTCAACGAGCAGGTTGGTTGAGTTTAGGATGAGGGTCTATTTATTACTATATTTTGCATGTTGAGGATGGTTGGTGGCTTACCTAAGCCCTAAGCATACCCAGTCAGTGGATAACCTTCTTTGTGAGTTGTTTTGGGTTGACCAGCTATGCTTCCCTTCCCGGCCCCCGGCGGCTTCCGGGTCGGACCGGACCTCCACCAAACACCCGGCTGTTGGTGAAGGAGCCCGGAGTCTTATAGGGTCGGTCTATAGATTCACCGGATCAGAAGAAAATATGCTGATATATGCATTCCCTAGGCTAGGGATCCAAGTACCTTCTCAGAAGGTGATTGGAGACACTGTTATGTAGGTTTGGAGGGTCCAGTCATACCTTCTGAGGAGGTACGATTGGATCCCTAGGGCCCTAGGGCTTGTCATTGTTTGTCTTGTTCTTGCTTGGCCCAGTGCTCAGCACCGGTCAAAAGACAGAGTCGGCTGTGTTTGTCGCTTGCGTCGTTGCGCGAAATCCTTCAGCGCGTTTCGAGCTCGCCCGTGCTCGGCGAGCTGTGCCATGTTTCCCATCGCAGTTGTGGGCCGTTTGCTCCACTCAGTTGGGTCCCTAGGGCTCCTGGCCCACCTCCTGAGAAGATGGTTGGGGTGGGTTTGGGGGGTCTAACCACCTTCTGAGGATATGGTTGGAGCCCTAGGGGGTGTACGAGCCATGCAGTGGATTTCGGAATCCTTCCCGTGGCCTAGGATGCTTGCGTCCCGGCGTTCGATGATGTGATGGTACGCTGGAGCACCTTTGGCAATGGCCAATTGATACTTGGATGGACCAATGAACGGGATTGGTGGAATCCAGATCCATGGCATGGTGCCATGGTAGCTCAAATCATTACCGCAATGCTGACAAACTGCAGCAGCTTGCAGTAGACAGGTTAAACTAGACATATAAATTAAACGACCCATACCAGCATCCTCCAATAGGTCACCACCTGCCCTTTTTAAGTCTCCAGAGGAGACCTGTTGGTTTCGGTGCTGGTCTATGGATGATGTAAAACCATGAAACATCCCGCACGGCGATGTGAAGTCCTATACATTCGGCTGAAGCGTCTCCCATCCTCCGGACCTCCCCGGTGAGACTGACCGTGGGGGGAGATCCGATGGGCGGAGATGACCGGGTCGGGCTTGCGGGGACAGCGGCGGCTTGATCCATGTTGAATCCCTGAGAATCCGAAACACATAGAAAAACAACAGCAACAGTTTATAGCTATCATGATGAAAGGCACACCTTCCTTCAACAAGACTGGATTCAGGCTCATGGGGCACTTTCTGGACTTTCAGATCGTAGTGAAGATGTTCAGACTTTGATGTGCAGCGGGATCATACTGTAAGTGTTGTAACGTGTTTTTCCGGTCAAAGGATCAGTGTACTTGCCCAATCCTGCTCTAGTTTTTGCCAGGTCCTGGGTGAAAGGAGAGAATCGATCCATGTTTCATCAGATTTTCCATTGAGGAATGCCTCCAAGCTGGTGGGGGAGGAGCTGGTGGAGGTCGAGGCCTTCGAGGAAGATGCCACTTGCTGCCCTTGTCAGTGTAGCGTCATTGGACCAAAACCCTGGTTTCTTGCAAGCTTGACTCAGCTGGTGTAAGCTGAGCCTGGACATGCACTGCGCGGGTTTGCCTCGTTGAACCGCGCGCGAACACCTGCACCCACTTGCTTGTAATAGAGTCCTTTGTACTGGACTATGTAACAGATTATTCCTATGTCCTATGTAATGAGTAAAGGTTCTTGACATAGGAATCTAATGGAATCTATGGTTTCCAGCTCAATGGAGTTCAATGGAGTAAAAAGTGCTCTTCATGTCAAGATCTAGCAAGCGGACCAGCCAAAGGTGTGTCACAACAGCAGTTCTTGTGCAGACTCGGACCCAAAGCTTGTGTACCGGGTCTTGTGCCCCAAATCAGGCTTGTTTTGAACCGAGCACAGTCCAATTTGGTTGCAACAAGTCCTTTGACACAAGGTCCTCGGCAGGTTTTTTTGTTATTATTTTTGCCTCTCAGAGTTTTAAGGTGAAGAATCGTGGATTGGCCATGGCTATCTTGGGAGAAGTTCCAGGCGGAGAAATCGGCGCGGTCTTTCCAAGGAGTGCACCTTAGAGGAGTGGAACATAGTGGAACCACCTTAGAATGGAGACCTTCTCTACGAGTTCCGACTTCGGGCCCTCCTCTTTTTCTGCAGAAGCAATATTCCCAACATGCTGAAAGTAGGTCGTGAGCATGGTTTGGTGAGGGCTGAAGGGAAGAACCACTCGACTGGAGCCGTTTCAGCGCCCTTCACTCCGAAAGAGAGACGGGAACAGTGGATGACGGATGGAAGACCATGCTCAAGCAATCTATATAGTACATGAATTTATTTGCCTAGATTGGGGTGGTTTGCAGACGTGTATGGAAACATATTCCATTACATGAATTAATGGAGATGGAAGGCGGGCCACCCTGATGAGATGATCATATCGGGTGATCGTGCGGCGGAATGCATGGCAACATGGAGGTGGTCATGGCATTGGCAGAAACCTCCCAAATGTGCCCCCTAACTTCCAACACTACAACAACCATAAAACATCATAAATTCAAACTCTACCATTACCATCAGCATTGCCGCACGTGTGAAAACCACACCGAAATCCCATGGCTCGCATGCCCGTCCACACCTTCCTTCTAGGTGATTTGGCCAGTGCCGCGCTGGGCACTTTGTCCATCGAAGTGTCTTTGGGCACACAGACCTTCCACGCGACTGCCACTCCGCCTTCGGGGCCAATCATGGTCGGTAGCTCCCTCCATGCGGTGGTGGCCAGGTGGGAGACCGGGAGCTTTAATGGGGAGAGAGACCCATCCGGAGATCGAAGGGGTGCTGCCCGGTGGAGGTGAACAAAGTCCTATTCCGCAACTCTCCATTCTTCTGAAACTTCTCTTCCGCAACTACTCTTCAGAAACTATTCTTCAGAAACTGTTTTACTATCTTCAGAAACTGTTTTGCGATCGTCAGAAACTATTTTGCGATCTTCAGAAACTATTTTGCGATCTTCAGAAACTAATTGGCGATCTTCAGAAACTATTTGGCGATCTTCAGGAACTAATTGGCGATCTTCAGAAACTATTTGGCGATCTTCAGGAACTATTTCGCGATCTTCTGAAACTTATTTGCACGCTTTAGAAATAAAGTATTCATTCAGAACTTTTACAATATTGTAGCCAAATTGCATGAGGGAGCACTGGGTGGGCGGGGATGGGGGTGGGTGGGTGGATTATTGATGTACCTTGTGACGGCTACGGAATATACATGCCTACTTTGCGATCTGCAGAAACTTTTTCGTGCAGGTTTGATGTTGATCTTCGACTCTTCGTAGTTTCCGGAAAAAAACATTAGTTTCTGAAGAAAACCGTAAAGTTTCCGAAGATCACCTTTTAGTTTCCGACTAAAACTTTGACCGGTGGAGGTAGGAGACCGATAGTGTATAGACATCATGGGACTGTCTCACTGTCATTTAAGAGTGGATTGCAGAGACATAGGACACACTTGGGTGTTTTGTTAAGGGTTTTGTTTTGTGAGTCCACGTTGCATGGAAAATGAACATGACAGAAACTTCCAAGGACTCGTGTTGTTGTGTGCTTTGCACCATGTCATCACCTCCGGCAGAGCAAGTCACGACATGCCGCCACTTGGTAAACCCCTGCAGGCAAATGGTGCAAGAGGGGCGTGTGCCTTGGCACTGACAGTGGAACTCTCGTCAATGACTGGTGGTGTGAAACAGGACGAAACACGCCAGTTGTTCATGGGTGGATGGAGTGGGTGGGTGGGTGGATGATTTTTGTTGGGTGACTGGTTTTCGTTGGGGTGGATGGGTGACTAGAGGGTGTGAGAAAGAATGACAAAGTGGTGGGTTGTAGATGTGTGGGTGGGTGGATGCATGTTGACGGGTTGCTGCGGCATTCCTGCGGTACTGTACTGGAAATCCGTGGGTGTCACTGGTACGTATACGAGTTTTGTGTTCCTCACGGATGAATGTAGCCGCCAGTGTAGCCGCCTATATGGTACCAGTTTTTGGGACGGGGCCTTGATCCAGAATGATGTTGGTCTTGTTTATTCTGTTGGAACACTGAGCCACCCTTCCTTTGGTTGTGGCGAATCGGGTCTTTGCAAACCGTCCAATAATGGAAAGTAGGATTCTTGACTAGCCAAGAAAAGCGCGTCCTCCCAAAGTGCTAAAGTGCAGTGTTGTTCGGGTCTATGAGTCTATGCGGTGCCGAAGTGCATCCGCAAGTGCATGTGGGGTGCTTCCTAGAGATGAGATTCAAGAGCCGTGTCTTTCTCCAAGGTCCTAACTATCACGAATATGTCACGCGAAAAGGTTTACTTTGTGGTGAATGGCAGGGGGTATCTTCGTTTACTTGTACAGTACCAACTGTTGGAGCAAGTGTTCGGGTGGTGTTTTCCAACTCTTATATTGATTGATCCCACTGACTATGATATATTCAATTACCCTAGGGCTCCAACCATATCCTCAGGTTCGGTGGTTAGACCCCCCTGGAAAGCACCCACCCCTGGACCATCTTCTCAGGAGGTGGGCCAGGAGCCCTAGGGTTTCAACAAGAATCAACCAACCAGGAGTTCCATACCGAAGCTAGCCGGTTTCATACTGAAGCCAGGCGGTTTCGACCGAAGCGGCTTCAACCACCAGCTCCCCAGGCGCCTTCAGCAGCCTGGGCCGCCTCGTTGGGCATCCCCAGCGGTAGCTTCCAGTGGAACTCGGTCGATCGCGCGGGCCGGTCCACTCCCCTTCGCTGCGAGGAGAAGGTGCCGGCGCCCGGTCGAGGTGGAGAGGCGTTCGGGGTCCTCGGTTTGTTTCCAGGTTTGCACACCATCCAACTCATCACATGGAAGTGGACAATGGACCCTTGGCGCAATAGTTAATTATATATATTAATTATATACTTCTTGTGAACAAGGTGGGGAAATCACTTCCATGTGATGTGTTCGTCAGAGTGTTTATCAAGAGTTGCTTTGGCTGAAGTCATTCTTCTTGGGAGGGAATCTGTTTGTTTGGAAGGTGAAGTTCCTGTTCATCGGATTTTCTTACTGACCGAGATGTGCTCCACCCCGAGAGGTGGTGCACCCCTGTGCGATGTGTGACAGAGATCGACGACAATCCCGGCCACGTGCCGAAGATCAACCCGATGGTTGAGGGGGGGGGCGTTCCATGTGGTCCTTTGCAGCCGGACGAGCTAAGCCGAAGCCCCCCAAAAAGGTTCAATTCAGATGAATTGGTGTAAGGGACAAATTGACAAATCTATGAAGATTTCGAAGGAGAATATGTTTGTGGTTAAAAGGCAATTCCAACATCTTCCTTAGCGTAGATGTTACCTGAAAAAAAAACAATCCAATTCAACAGGCTTTTCCAACCGCAAGCTGCTGCAATCGCTGCATGGACGCTGCAATCCCGCTGCGTTGGACGAACGCCATCCCAAGCCAAGCATGCTGCGATAAGCTCCTTAGGCTTGAGTGATACGAACATGGCCTCGGTGAGACATGTGAGACATGTGCACAGTACCCATACACTCCATGGGACTGGCATATATGTATCCGATCAGTTGGAGTGGTTGACTAGGGGTCAATGACGGTCAATGTATGTAAATATGCCATACATGGAGTGTTTGGGCATTCTTCTGAAGTGCCTTGGGGTCTCGTGGCACGGCTTGGTCTGTGATAGGTTGAGAAGGTGGAACGGCTTCAACCAGAGTTGTCCACTCGAGCGCCTTGGAGAAGTCGCGATCCCAGTTCCTCCGGTTGAAGGGCTCATGTGCCAGAAAGGACCTTTTGGGGGCCTTTTGAGGACCTTTGGGGTGTAGTTTTGAATTGGGTGGATTTGTTCGTGCCCTCCTTTGGATGAATCCATGTGAATCCTCTTTAGGCCAAGTTGCTGATGTTTTTCCTGGTTCCAATTCCTTAAGCCAATCCAAGGTTTGGACCTAACCCAGATGGGCAGTTCTGCTAAAGTTCTATTGAAGGGGCTCACCTTTGACCCGGTGGGGCAGAGCCCTTGGGCTATACTCGCCAGTGGCACATCCAAGTCGTTCGTTTTGTTCCTCCATTGAATGGCATGGGCGGAGACACATGCGGTTTGACGGTCATGGACAGTCATGGTTTCCAGGGAGGATCCAAATACATCCAAATAGCAAATGGTTTGAATGTGTTTGAATCAACGACCTCAGCGCATGTTTTACCTGGAAGTAGTTGGGGTGTTTCACCAAGATTAAGTTCTTGGTTGCCCACTCTGATGAATTCTGCATGCATGGGCTTTTTACTAACCAATCTATCCGAATGTCAAGTGGGTGGGGGGTCCTCCAAAGCCCACCACTTCCGAATGGGACTTCCATACCCGCTCCAAGAGGAGTGGGGAAGCAAACTGGAGAAAATGGAAGTGAACCGATCTGAAATGGATAGAAGATCCATTCATATCCTAATGAATGAACTGGTCATGCAACCCTTGATATACAAGCTTCTATCATCTTCTATAGGTTCCAAAAAGAAAAGAAGTGAGTGGCTGCTCCAGCTGCGCCATCTGTGGGTTCTTCTCCCAAGGAGAAGCTGACGACTGCGCCTCCGGAGCCAACCACGTCTTCGTCGACCCTCTCAGCCTGCGAGCAGATTTCACAGAAGCTTCTTAGGACGAAAAAGACGGGCCACGACACAACCACGTTGGTCAAGAGGCTGCCGATGTGGGAGGGTAAGTCAGATCTAGATTTGCACCATTGAAGCCTAGATGGATCTAGATCTTAAGACCAATGGATCTAGATCTTAAGACCGATGGATCTAGATCTTAAGACCATTTCTCTCACAATACCCAGCTGTTTTTCTTCCGTTAAAGGTCATGTCAGTCATTTGCCACAAAGTGGTCCTTGATGCGCTACCTGGAGGCGCTTTGTGTTGGTTTCTCGACATCCTGACGTCCGAGGCTATCCTCCCTGCACTTCAAGAGCCTGGGGAAGAGTCTGTGACCAGGCAGAAGCGCAAGCATGCGCAGCGCAGCACAGGGGCCTGCACAGCGGCCGGAGATGTAAAAACCAGGAATCAACTGCAAGACACATGATGAGGGTCACCAAAGAGACTTGCTTAGGGTGGTTATGACTCAGCAGGGTGGTTCTGCTTACGTAGGTGGTTGCTTAGGGTGGTTATGCTTTGTGGGGTCATTGGGATGCTCTCTGCAGGGCTGTGTTCCTACAACACTTCGATTGAGCCCCCAAAAATACCGCCCAAAATGAGGTGCCTCAAGAGCAGGTTAAAAGGCCTTGGTTCTGTTTCTTTTGACCTTTGTCTTCCAGAGGTGTGGCAATAATGAGCTTCCGTGAGTGTCCCGTCCTTCTGTCGAAAAGGGTGTCCAGTCGATTTGGAGGAGGGCTTCACCTCCAGTCAAGCTGCTCCCAATCCGATTGCACTGTTCCCTCCTGCCAGACTCCCATGTTCGGTCGCTGCGGATGCAGAAGAAGCTGCTGCGGAGGTGCTTTCATAGACGGTATCAAATTGTTCAACCCATATTTGGGAATGAGAACTCCCAGTTCACGAAGATGTTTGTTTCAGGGTACAGTAGTTTGTTGATGTTTGTTGCTGTTGTTGTTGTTGTTGTGGTGCTTTAACGGTCCACACCCTAGCTCATCCCCTCGACTACAGGAGTGGGGGTGGTGGCCCGCCTGCCCGCCTAGTGCTACACCCGGAGACTAAACCCGGGTCCATGAGGGATGCATCATAGCCACGGTCCAACCATATACATTGCATCCACCCTCTTCAGGGTACAGCAGAACCACCATCCAGGGTTGGTTGACTGCATCCACCATCATCCACCCGGTCGTCTCGATCGGGCAGCCCTAAACCCTAAACCAGCCCAGGTCTTTACACCAATCCAAAAGCTGGACCTCGGCTTCGCCGCAGCTCCCGTCCACGTCCAAGCCCAGAGGTGTGGCCCGGGGTGGGGCGGAGCCTCCGAGAACGGTGAAATCCTTACAACAGCACTTAGAATGTTTTAGAATGTGATTTGTTTCGTTCTCGTCTTGATTCCCTCTAGGTTCAAAAGGTTGATGAATTTCTATGAAGTGCCCTCAAAATCTGCGATGATGACCATTGTATAAGAGCGTTGCTCCCTCATATGTTGGCATGCCTTCTTCAGCCTTTTCAAACGATCATTAGGGGACGAAGCCATGGACTCACAAGGTTCAAAAGTAAGACAAAGCCGATCCTCGGGGACGAAGCAAGTATGACAAAGCAACAGCCGCAACAGACTCACAAGGTTGCCGTACTTGACTTCTTGGTGCAGTGGGTCCAATGGGTCAAAGCATTAACTCCGCCCAAACGAGAAATTCATAAGGGATATCGTTGCCAGACACCAGAAAAGGAGAGGACTAGCTGACTTACTGAATGAGCACGCTATGAAAACCAAAGAAGTGCTGCTGCAGCTTGATTTGTATTGATGCTTTCACGCGTTTACCTCTTTGAATCCTTTTTGAAGTCTGTGTTTACTTTTTCCAACAGGCCTTCATAGGTAAACATGTGTAAGTTTCAAACATATACCTACTGAACCTTGTACCCACAAATTTGTGGGTTGAGAAATCAAAACCCATCTTTTTCCATGATGAGATGGAAATACCAGGTATTTTGAAAAAAACCTATGTTTTTGTCAAGGACCAGATTCCAATGACTTTATAACGTTTCAAGATGGCATTGACTTGGGAACCATCCATTGGAGTGTGGCTTGATAGCCTGGATGTTGGCCTGGTTCAGGGCTCAAAGAAGTCCATGATGTGAAGTGGACGGCATTCGAACCCCGATGAACCGGGCAACAAAAAGATAACTTGAATGCATGTTTCAAAATCCTCCCAAAGTGAGATGTTGCCCTTTAGGATGTGCATGGATGGGCAAAGAAAGTGCTCCTATGGGGTCATGGTTCACAAGTGTTTGTACCCAACCACCTGTTGGATCCTGTCCGCGCCTGTCCGTGCATGTCACCACGGGAACCTGATCTACCTGATCCAGACACTCTGAGCCCGGGCCCTCATTTTGTCCGCTGGGCTGGCGCGTATGAAGTTGGCTGCTTTGCCTGGGCTCAATGAATCAGTTTTTCTCTATGGTTCATGGGGTTCTTTGTTACAAACCTTGGTTGAATCCATGTCTCACCTTAGGAATCATGGATCATGATGTCTGTGTGGGAGCGGCATGGGCTTGAACACAATCTATTTCTAGAAGCCATTCTGGTCAAAGTCTCCCTGCACCCTCTTGTGAAGTGTTTTGTGGGCGGCAATGGATTGTTGTGGGCTCTGTCGTGAATGGGAGGAAGATCCCCAAGTCCGTGATCGCGTACGTGTAACAAATGCACTCTTGGAGAAACAGAGTGGAGAGACCTTTTGTGTCCCTTCCCGGGTGAATGCGGTTGCCAACAGTGCTGTTCTTCGTCCGGTCTTGGTCCGCCTAGCTGACACTGAGAAGAATGCCCTTCCACATTTGGAAGGCCTGCAAATGGAACTGCGGGCCTTGTTTGAGAAGTGTGGCATGAATCCCGGAGATGATCTTGTCTACAAAAGCAGTGTTGAATTGAAGCGCTTGGCTGGTTTTGTGAAGCGGCGCTGCAAGAGACGTGAAGTCACGAAGGAAAAGGGTTAGAGTCTGACAATGTCACTACTAAATTGGGGTGCGTGTTCACAATGGTGCCACATCATCAGTGGTTTCAATACCAAAACATGAAAATAATTAATGGTTTTAACACAGCACGGCACTCAAAGTTGACAGGGGTTCTGCTGGTCCCTTTTGATTTGATTCAAGTCTTGCAGCATAGTTTGGTTTTCCATGACTTGCCCCTGCCAGGACAAGTCCTTTCATGTGCTGCTTTTGATCTTGGATCCCACTATCCAGGACTGGTACATATTAAACATGTGTGGCATGGGGGCAAAACTCTTCACTAAAGGTCCAATGATGACAAATTCTTGGGTTCCATTGGGTTGTGAAAAGTTCCAAGGTCAACCTGATTGTTGGAGGGTTCCTGTATAGGAGGCCATTGACCTGTACATGAAGTCATGCAAGCGCTCTCGATCTGCAAGCTCTGGTGAGTTGGAGGTAGATGAAGAGTTTGAAGATGAGGATGATCAGTCCAAGAATGAGTTTGACGATTTCAAAAAATGGTTGGACAGTGCGGTTGAATCTCCTATGCCCAGTGATGCCCCTCTGACTGCTGTGGATGAGAAGTGTGGCAAATGTGAGCATTCTCCATGCCAGTGTTTCTTGATTGGAATTAAAAACAACGGTAAGTCAGAGGCATATACTTGAAGGTCTGTTGTAGTGATTGGAACGAAACACATTTTGACTGGTCTGCTTTGCCAGCTGCCAAGGTGCTTCGATCCAACAGCGCGTGCAGGAGCTCCGAGCTCACATTGCCAAGCAGCTTGCGGAGAAGAGGGCTGAAGCGCTTGCAAGTGCAAAGATGCTTTCCTTGATTTGGCTGGGGCCAACGATTGAAAAACATGGACACATAAATAGGGATCTTCATTTTGGAGCCCTGGGCTGAAAACGCTACTCCATGTTCTAATCTAATCTACCAAAAAGAAAACCTCTTTGGTTCTGAGGAGTCTACCACCTCCTCTGCCGAAAGAAGAAGCTGAACCCCCTGCAGCTTCAGCCAAAGGCTGGCCTGACAAAAAACAATCCCTAAAGGGATTTGGATGAAACCAAGTTCTCATCCTCATGCCAGCCAAACTCTACCATGTTTTTGGTACAACCGTCACTGATCACCTTACAATGTTGATCCTTGACACCAAATTGATAGCAGGGCTTAGCCAGAGTGATTTAGTTAAATGTCATAAGGAACAAGATTGAGAACATGTCTTTGTAGAGAGGATTTGTTTGTCCCTGGCTAGGCCCTGCACAAGAAGCTCGTAAATCAGGTGTACGTGACACAGATGAGACCCAGCCCTTGGAGGATGAGAATGCCACTCCTGAGATTGCTGCCTTTGACCTGACTATGCCTGTGGATAATGAAACCCAGCCTTACAGCGCGGAGCAAGGGGGACTACCAAAGGTTGGGTGTTAGTGGTAATGTTGTCAATCTTTTTGCTGGCCATGGAAATTAAAATATAGTGGAATGGCTTTAATGTATTATCATTTATCAGTTTTTGTACATTTCACATCTCCACTGAATGCAAAATTTCTCAGACTGGGCCAGGGCCATGGCCCTAATATCACGCATTGACAAATTCAAAATCAAAAAACTGCTCATTGGCATCTGCCTGCAGGTGCTGACTCGCCGGGACCAACTCAAGCTCAAGGAAGAGAAAGTGAAGGCAAAGAAAGAGGAACAGGAGGCCAAGGAGGCTGCAAAGCTTGAGAAAAAGGAGGCGCAGCAAGCAAAAAAGGCTGCCAAGAAGGCAGAACAAGAGGCCAAGAAGCAGGCCAAAGCTGAAGCGAAGGCAAAGGCAAAGGCCAAGGGCAAAAAGGCCTCTGCTGATGCTGAAGCTAAGAGTGGTGAGGTGGAAGTGGAGGAGGAGCAGAACGACGATCCGGCCCCAAAGCGGAGGAGGCTGAAGCAATGTTCAGCTGATGGTGAAGGTGGTGAAGGTCAGGCTAAGGCTGAGGCTTCGAAGGGTGAGGAAGACGGGCCGAAACCAAAGGCAAAGGCAAAGGCAAAGCAGGCGGCGCAAGCGAAGCCGAAGCCGAAGCCGAAAGCCAAGGGAAAGGCAAAGGCAACTCCCAAAAGAAAAAGTCGAGCCAGGAAGCAACAGGGCAGCAAGAGTGACGAGGAGATTGCAAAGGAGAATGAAGGGGAGATGGAGGAGGAGTTGGAAGAACCTGAGGATGACAATGTCAGGAGGAAACTTTTTCATGGTGCCGCAGATGGTGATGAAAGTCCTCACCTGCGGATTGATCCAAAGTCCAAGTCTGGCAATGTCAAGCCGCTTCAGCAACTCTTTGAGGAGGATGTCCCTGCCCGACTGAATGCATCGAGGCCACGGAAGGAGCCTGCTGATGTGGCGGCTGAGGAGGAGGGGGGAGCCAAGAGAAGAAAGAAGCAGGCACTTTCGCCCTTTGCAAAGAAGGAGCAGGGCCGCCGCAAGAAAAAGGAGAAGGAATGCATGGAAGCGACTGTTGAGCTAGATCCTTTGGTCCAAGGGGTCTTTCTCCAGCACATGAAGTTCTGCCGGAACTTGTCGTTCGAGGCATTGAAGGACTACCTCTACGAGAAGCTCCCAAAGAAGCATGGCAACTTCCAGCTCAATCCCTACATGAACAGGCCAGCATGTGGCGTCTTCACCAAGCTCCCAGAGTGGAAGGCAAAGAAGGAGATTGTCTACTTTGGGAAGTGTGGCACTGCCCTGAACAAGAATGCAGCGTGTGTGGTGTCCTATGTCTCTGGTGCTCTGATGGTTCCCTGGCTCAATGGGTTTGCAATGCAAAGCACTGCTGCAACATCATAGCATAGCTCCAATGACTGTCCAACTCAAAGCTGGCACATTTTGAGTGTATCAGGTCTAGGTAATATCACTTCCCCTGCCAGTTCTTATTTTTTCCATGGCCCAGCACATATGACAACGATACCGGTACCCATTGAACTTAGGCTGCGTGGATGGCAAACCTGCCCATTGAGGATGTTCAGGCTTGGGAAGATCCTATGGGCAAGGTCTCTCAAAAGGCCATGTTTTTCCGATACAATGGGAATGTGGCAGCTTCCCAATTCAAATGAATACTCTGCTGGAGGATGCTGTCTCATTCTGTAGGGTCTCTTGGGTTCACCATTCATTGTTCAATGGTAAAACGTTGTAAATCTGACTAGGCATGTGCCTGGTTTTCACAACTGCGTAAATAGTGAATTGAACTATTTAGGTCAGCAGGTCAATGGAAACTGCAAACCAGTATCTGCATACGCTCCAGCTAGAGGATTCTTAGATCTTGAAACTAGTGTCATGGTTTGGCTTAGCT